TTTTTTTTTTAGATTTGTTCGGGGAATTGTTGGTAAAGCATTTTACAAGACTCAAACAAATATCGACCAAGTGACCTCCTAAATAAGGAACACTAAATGTGAAAATGACTTGAGGATTAAATAAATCTAGTACTCACAGCTACTGATTTCTTTGTACTGCAGTGACACCTGGTGCTCAGCTGCTGGAACAAACTGCCAGACTGCAGTCTCTGAGAGAAACCCTGGACCGACTGAAGGTGACTGAAACACACTGACATTAGACACAATCAGACACAAATATAAAGACAACATGAAAGCCTGAAAAACGTTTTTCTTCTTCTTCTTTCAGGATGAAGTGTCTGAACACGTCGTTACCCAACATCCCGGAGCTCGGGTCTCCACAGACTTTGCTACGTTTCCATCCACGTCATTTGTGAAGGTACAGCCCAGTGGTCGTCTCTGAGTTACTGTATAATCTGATCTATTGTCTGTTTTAGTTCTCTCAGTCAATCTCCTCTGTTTTTTGTGTGCATTCAGGTGAAGGAGGAGAAGCAGGGGGACACGGTTCTGGTGGGTCGGGTCATGGTTCCGTGTGCACGTGGTCAGGAGCAGGTCCATCGTCTGGTTCTGTCCCAGTCTCAGCTGCACAGAGTTCACTCTCTGCTACAAACATAGTCGTTCGCTGCTGTCGCTACTGTCATCGCTGTCATCCGCTTCCCCATCTCTGCATCAGTGCTAGCACCGGAGCATTACAGCCGGCAACAAACGTCGATGAGGTCAGAGGTCAAACATTACACATTACACTGTCTTTTCAGTCGCACTTGTCAGAGTTTGGGCCGTGGTCAGAGAGTGTTCTGTGTTCTGTGGGTCAGTCTGCTGCTGAATAATCTCACATATTTTGGCTGTAATTTTAACTTATCAAAATTAGATGGTTACTATTTGATGAATTATTCAAAAATTATTGGTTTTACTATTTAAATGTGTGAATTGTGGATTGCGGAGAAAATTATGAAAAAACCATAGTCATAGCTGTAAAAATCATCGGAGTCATTTTGAGGTCTGACTGCTGCTGGTGTGTTTATGGTCACAGATGATGACAGTGCAGGTTCTTAACTCCTGCTCTGTTCTACTGAAAACCCCATTCTATAAGCTGCTGAGTATTTATTAATTATTGAATAATCTGTTGTCCAAGTGTTGAAACTGCTGTGTGGTTCATACCAGACACCAACACTGGAGGTCGCTAAACTTACACAAAACTTAATCAAGGGAACTATTTAAAGTAAAAAGTAAAGATTGATGATTTAGTGTTGTGCACATTTGTTTGAGCAGCAGGAAAAAATAAATCCTGTTTAAATGTTTAACTTTATTCAGGGCTTAGTTTCCTCAAAACTGTAATAATCTGAGATTTATGTTATTTTAAACACCATCTCAGCTGCACTTTAGTCAGATAGTTATTTATTATTTATTACATTGTGTGTTTAAAGTGCTGAGTTTAGATTGTGACTCTGGTGTTATTGATGAAAACTGGATTTTGTTACAGCCTTAAATCAGTGTCTGTTCACATGAAGCTTTAGGTTGATCTGAACTCGGATGCATGTTTTTGGCTGTAGGTTTAAGACTTAGTTAAATATAAAGTTTCAAACTGTTGAAACTGGATGGATGTGCGGTGGGAACGTAACCACAGCTTCAGCAAGAGAACTAAACTGTTGTCATTTCTCCTAAGAGCTGAAGATTATTCTGTCTGAACTGTTTCCTCCTGACACTTCCTGTTCCTGCTCGAGTAATACCCAACAATTAACACAATAAAGACAGTTCAAACTCTTGATCCTGTTGTGATTTATTTAAAAAACAATGTATTTTCAATAGAAACGTGTTTTATTCTTACATTGTGGCTCAGTTTGAAAAACGCATCTAAAGCTATTTTAAAAACAGAAACATGGTCTCCAGTAATAAATAAAATATTCAGCTAGTTTACAATGTAAAAAAGTATAACCGTTAGTTTCATCTATAGTCAGAGTGATTGGTCACTGCCAGGCTGCTCGTCGGCCCAGGACGAGATTGGTGATTCTCTGGAAAAATGGAATTGGAAAAAAATAAAAAATCTTATTTAATTGCCATTAAAAACAGGAACAGTGAAGCTCACTGCTGTTGTTGTAGTGTTTGTGAGGATTGTTCAACAACCTCTGTCGTGTTCGTACCTTGTTGTACAGTTGTACGTTGAGACGATTGGTTCTGTACTCTGCTTTCCTTCGTTCCTCTTCTCTCTTCCTCTGAACCTCAGGAAGGTTCTCGTAGATTCTGGAAGGGAAACAGGTTTGAGACCAAATGTCTGAAAATCAAACATTTCTTCAGTTCCTTTGACCACCGGGCAATTAAACTGTTTATCTCTTCACTGGGTGGGAGGAGGGAGAACAAACGACTGGTGGATAAGGGAGTAAGTGCAACAACCACAATCTCCATTTACATGATTCTATTTCAATATACCGTTGTACTTCTATTTTATATTCCAAGTATATGTATATATATATACATATATATACAGTATGTATATATATATACATATATATACATATATATACATATATACACACATATATATATATACACACATATATAATCAACATACTGTGTATAAATATATTACTAATATCTATCCTATATAATATTATATATGTATAGTAACTCCTAGTAATAATGGTTGTATAAATCTGGTCAAATTACACCCCATACACTAATATATCTGCTGGAACTGCCTCTATTAGATAAGTGTTTATCTTATTTAATTACCCAACTATTTATGCTGTCCATATATTTAAACTAGTTACCATAGAGATATTGTGGTATACTATATATATATGTATGTTTATACATATGTATATATATGTATATATGTATGTGTCTGCATATATACTGTATATACATACATCATAGTAATTTAATTTAGAATAGAAATGGTATAATTAAAATATAACTAATAATAATTGAGATTGCAATCAACAACACCACACGGCGACAGTAATTACCTACTAATCTACTAACACTAATCTATCTACTTCTAGTAATCTACTAATCAACATCCACTGTTCAGGTTTTCCATATTCATTGACAGTGTGCTGCTACTCATGTCTGTATTTGACTGTATTTTACCTGTTCGTGTGTTTTTACTGCTGTACTGGAGCCTACATTTCCCAAAGGGAACTCCCGAGGAATTATAAAGTGCTAGAGATCATTCCTACAGATAACTGTCAAAAACTGTGTTGAAATAAAATGTAGTTCTTTTTGAAGAGAGCTCTTACTCACAGTTTGGATCTCTGGATCATCTCCTTCCAAGGTACAGCTCTGCGGAGCTGAACAGAACCTGAAGAGAAAGAGGTTTGTTTAAAACTGAACGGAAAACAATCAAATTGATGAATACGTAAAATGATGTTACATTTGAAGACAATTAATTAAATAGTTGCTTCAAATGTTTTCCTACTTTAAGTCAGTGGTTTTCAATTTGATTTCTGTCATGCCCCTCCCTTGGGGACAGAAATGCTTTCACGCCCCCCCCCCACCTGACCCACACCCCCACAAATTGAAATACTTGATAACCTGTATTTTTATCTGTACAAACCACTGTATGAGTTGCTGCCACCTAGTGACTGGAGACCTGGTATTGTTCAAGAATTACAGCAGTGGTACAGTTATGTCGACCGTGCCATGTTCCATTGGAAGACCCCTACACTCCCCAGCACCTCACTGTACACCCCTCCCCTTTACCCCCCAAGGGAGGCCCCGCCCCACTATTCCAAGTAGTACTGCTTTTAGTAGATGTAAAACGGAGCAGAAACCAAGCTTCCACACTGACGTTTGTCTGAGCAGATTCTCCTACGCTCTGGTCCACGTGACAATATTACCACCTGTTTTTAAATTGCCTTAAATGTGTTATTTAATGTGAAACTGTCTCAGTGTCCTGAGAGACTGAGTGACCGGTGTTTGGACCAGGACTACCTCTACTTCCGGTATCTTTAGTTGAGTTCAGACTCACCTGCAGGTTTCGGTGCTCTCCCCTCTCCTCCTCCTCCTCCTCCTCTTGTCCCTCGTCCTCCTCCAGTCTGGTAGAAGAACTGCTCCTTCTCTCTGGTGAGGAAAGCCTGCAGCCTCCTCTCCTTCGCCTGCAGAGCCAGACACTTCAGTCTCTCCGTAGATCTGAAGATGAACTCTGGGCGACGCAGCTGCAGCGCCTCCTGCAGGACGGATGAGGCCTCAGCAGGGACATTTTGTCAAAGGTTAAGACTGACTCTGAATTTTCCCCTGGTTCAGGCTTTGAGGTTCACTGATTAATGTGAGAACGATAAACCAGAAAAAACCTTAAGCTGAGACTTGAGCTGGTTTTTAAGAAACAAGCTTTTCCTAAAAGTATGTTTCAACCTGAAAATTCAGCTGTTTCAGTTTGAGAGACATTTTATCACAGCATACCATGATATGATCTACCATCCTCCTAATGCATTTGATGGTGGGCTGTCATAGATCTCAATAAAAGACTGCTGCTTTAAAGCTCCATAAAATAATTGTTGGTGTGAATGAGTTCATGTGTTAATGTAATAATAATAATAATAAAGATAATGATGATAACCCTCAGCCTCAGCCTTATTAAAAAAGACTAAACTGTTACAAACTGACCTGCAGAGAGACTGGTACCAGACCAGATGACGTTCTTTTGGTTCTAAAACCAGAATGAGGTTCATAGCGACCCATGGTGGTCGACTGCTGGTTCCTCCCCTCGTGAATTTGTCTCTGTTTGAGTGGTTCTCTCCACTCGTGACTTCTACTGTGAGGAAAGAACATGGCAGAGCTCACTCTCCTCATCCACTCCTCCTCCTTCCTCTCATCCAACACCACCTCCTGTGGCCGTTGCTGGTTCTCCTTCTTGGCCTCTGACCCCAGCTCGTGGGCAGAGATGAACCAGGAAACAGCTGGGACAGAAAAGACGTTCTTCCGTCAACACAACACTCAGTTTCACATCCGTCTCAGGTGAATGATAATATCAGACCTGCAGGGTAGAACTTTGACGGACTCCTCTTGCTTTTCCTGTGTTTGTAACTCCGGCCTCCTCCTCCTGCTCCTCCTCCTCTTCTGTCCCCTCTGGATGATGAAGACAAACTCTGGCTGGAGGCTCTGCTCTCATGAGGAGAAGGAAATGTAGTTCCAACATCTCTGGTGTGGCGTCGAGTCCCATTACGGACGATCTCCAGGTCGCCTGCTGAAAACAAAATATAAAAATATATAAATGGATTTTTTAACTGATTTTCCTTCTGTTTCTTAACCCTCATCAGGGACATGAGGACTGGGTCAGACCTTGGCCAGTTCTCCAGTCCATTAAAAGGACAAACAAACCATTCTCAATCACAGGGGTCTCCAACCTTTTTAAAACTATGGGCGACTTGATACAGACTTCCTGAATAATGTCATAATAATAAAAAAAAACAGTGCTGCTCTGTCAAGTTCTAGGACAAACAGTACCGGACACTCTTCTTACATCACACACTTGAACATCATTGCAAGTGGAACTGATTCAACAGCTGCAGCAACATAATTAATTACAATTTGTGACCCTCTTGTTCAATAGTTTTACCATAGTTTTACCAAGAACTCCACACACACAGCAGTGACCACCAGAGCTCAAACCTTTGACCTTCTGGCTGTAAGGCATAAATACTGCCCACTCTTTCACTGTGTTTTAGTGACATATGAAGCTATTTATTTATCGTAGCTACACAGTTATTTAAAGATAAATATTGGCAATACTGACTCATTTCCCTCCCAGACTCACCCGTCTGGATTCCTCTGCTGACCACTCTCACTGCTCTCTTGGCCGTCAGACTCTTGGTGGGACCGGGGTGTGGAGGCCGGTCGTAAGTGCTGACTGAATCAGCAACAACCTGAAAAAATAAAAAGTCAAATCATGATGATGTTTAGAACTGTGCAGCAGTCTGTTCGGAGCACTTCTGCTGGGACGGTTCTCATCCATGATGCATCAAGTCAGAACAACAATCTCTAAAATGTCGTCATCAATAATCTTTTCTTTTTTAAAATATTTCTACATCATTTTTACAAACTGATTTCTCAGACAGGATCAATAAAAACAATGCTATAAATAAATAAAGTGAGTACAAACCGAGGACTCGTCAGCTCTGGTCGTCTCTGACGCCGCGACATCCACCCTGTGGCTCCCTCTCCTCTGCTCCCTGCCATCCTTCTGCCTGTTGATGGCGCTGTAGAGTCTGCTGAGACTGAAACTGCTCTTCAGCTGCTCATCTCTGTGGGAACTGGATCTTTGCTGCGGTCGAGTGAAGTCAAAGGCGGACAATGACGTGGACCTGTTGGACAACGTCTCAGACTTGTCACCGCCTTCAGAAGAGAGGTGCAGACTCCTGGAGGAGCTGTGGGACAGGGTGGAGGTGCAGGAGGCTCCTGGCTCCTCCTCTATGGGTTCAGGTCGGGACAGAGAGGGTTTGTCCTTGGACGTCTCCCGTCCTTCCGTCGTCTTCTGGACTCCTCTGCGCTCCCTGCTCTCAGGTATTTGTTGGTCTCCTCTCCTGGGAGCTCCTCCTCTCTCTTGTGTCATCTGTTCTAAGGAGTCAGCTTCATGACCTCGCTCCGGCGTGTTTCTCCTCTGTCTATCAATGAGGTGAGACAGACGCTCCAGTCGGACCAGCAGGGACGAGTCCCTGGTTTTGTCTGGTTGACAAACATCTATGACCCACTGGTCACAGAACCTCTGCCACAATCGGTCCAGGTCGGTCAGGACCGGTTCAACAACGTCAGGGTGTGTCTCCTGCTGGACATCAGTGTTCTGGAGGACGGAGCTCTGTCCTGTGTAATGAAAGATGCTGTTTGAGTCCAGCTCAGCATGAAGAGGCAGGAACGTCTCAGGGCTCCTGTGTGGTCCACAACAGCCACTGGTTCCCTCATCTATTCTCCACGACTCATGGTTAGTTGATGAGGACACTGTGGTTAAAGACACACGTTCATATCAGTTTTATATAAGGGGGGGCAAAGTAACAAATAGTAAATATAATATAAATACTACGACCACAACTGTATGTATAACAATATCAATTACTATTATTATAATGACAATAGGGGAGATACAGTTCTAGAGAAATGTAAAAAAGTACAGCAGTCCTACAGTTAGGACAGGTACTGGTAGGTAAACCTGAGTAGATTATTAATATTCTGGTCCTGATGATGACCTGGCTGGACATTAAAGTTTTAGATACAGACGCCTCCACTGTTTAGTGTTTAAACTAATGGATTGTTTAAGAGTTAATCAAATGATTCACAGTAATCTTGTGTTTTATTTTACTGTGTGTGTGTGTGTGTAAATCCAACCTGTGCCTCTGCTCTCCCTCATTGTGTAGTTCTCCATCTTCAACCTCTTGCTGTAGATCCCCTCTGTGTGTCTGATAGTGACACCACGGTCCAGCCCTGGGTCCTGGTGTCCAAGGACGTCACTGCTGAAGTTTGGTGGCACAGCATCATCTGAGCCTTTTGGGGGAGAAAAGTGTTAAATTAAGGTTTTATTTTTATGTTTTATAAGAAAAATTCCATAATTTTCAGTCAAAGTTTAACCAAAGCCGTTGGACGACTCTCGGAGCCTGCAGCCTGCAGCCGCTGCCTTTGTCTCTGCAACATGAATAATTGATGCCCCGCCTGGTCTGTGTAACAATAGAGCAGCTGGGACTCACTCAGGCACGGGAGAAATGAGAGACGACCACGGCTCCAGCTAACGCTCCAACAATCTGGACTCATTACTTCAGCTTTTCAATTTTATTTATTTTTTTAATTTCTTTGGCCCAAGATTACTTTTAAGACGTCTCTTTTTCATCAGTGAAGGAGGTAAAGGGTAAAGCAATAATAAATCATGACAATGAAGGCAGCCCAACTTCACTGCAGATAAAAATGATGGTTACCATGGTAAATCTGTGGTGAGGGTGGGGAGTAGGTGGAGGAGAACCTGGAGAGGTGGAGGTTTACTTTAGAGCGAGGAACGAAGGTCGGCAGGAGAAAGACAGAAAACGTGTAAATAAGAGTGAGGCGAGTGGAAGGATAAAGGTGCAGGAGTAAAGGTGATGACGGTGGACGAGTTTAAGTAGAGAGTAATGGAGAGTACACAAAGAAGTGGAGAAATACTGGATATAATACACTTTACTTCACACTGGTCTAGACTCAACACTTGGACCACCTCCAAACAGAAAACATTCGGGACAAATAGCAGGTTTGTGTGGGACAATGAGGGACAGCCGCAATCATTTAAAGCCAACCCCCCCTTTTTTTACCAAGTAACAAATCTCACCTTTTACCTCCATAAAACAAACAAAAACTCTATAGTACCCAAGACATAACCTAAACATTTAGTAATGTAACATATTTATTGATTATTATTATCTTAATTCTTCCACATTTAGCAGATAAGGCACAAAGAAATATGACCTGATGTAAAATTAAACTATTTCAGTGTAAATAGTTCTCTGTAAAACCAACAACATCTGTGGATTATATCGCCACCTGTGACCAAAAGATGGAAATAAAAAATACTTTGCCACCAAAGAGATTTTGCATCATAGCCTTTGTCAGCACTATAACTTGCACGTTTCTGAAAAGCATGAACTACATGGTAAACACTGGGAACTTCTGCTGCACTCATTTTATCCAACCCAGTGTCATGTGGTTTGCAGAAAAAATACTGCACACTTTTGGCTGTTTGTTGTTGTGTACTTCCTGTGTGAGATTCACATGCATCGTGTCGTTTCCCATTTGATTCACCACCATGCCCGACAGAAAAGCCGTATTTTCACAAAATGCAGAATGCTGCTTCAGAGTCTTCTTTTGTTCGGCACAGTAAACATGGCGCCTTCACAGTATCAAAACAACTTCGCGCAATACAATTTCAGACGCTAAAGTGTGTGTGAATAAAGCGAGTCAGCTGTTTGACTGACTCAGCCTGTCAGCTACCACATTATCCAAAAAGTGACCTATCATTGCTATGGACTGCACTGATAGACTTCCATCAAATAGTTTAATATCAATTAAATAATGTCAAATGAATAAGTGGGACATAATCTACAATTTGCGTGAAGCTGGACAGAGGCTAAAATTGCTGTCCAATACAACGTAAAGCGAGACAGGTGGTCACTCTACTCAACACTCTTGAGCAAACAGCAGTGGTCTGCTGCTGCGTAGTGAACGTACCTGGGTGGGTGCTCTCCAGGGTGGTGTCAGATTTGTCGACGGAGGACACGTCGGCTTCTAATTGAGGGACGTAGAAAAACTCCTTGCTGCCGTGAGGTTTGTAAGGCAACAGGACAGGAACTGCTGGAGGCAGAGGAGACACAGAGATGTCTTTAAGAACCAAAGACACAGAAACAACAAGATCTCTGTAATTATTTTGACAGGATCTTCATTCATTACTAAACCGAGGTGGACAAAACAGTTATACCGCTAAAAACAGGTGGACAAAACAGTTATACCGCTAAAACATTCAGAGTTTCTTTCAACTAAATTACTTCAGTTTATTAAAGCAGCATTTCTTCTGCTCTAATAATTACCTGCTCTTCCTTTTACAACCCCTTCTTTTTTGTTAGAGAATTGAAAACATAATGTTTCCATCTATCTTCCAGTTTAAATCTGTATCCTCATCTTTGCTTTGTCTAACAGAGCGCAAAAACATATATTCCTGCTACGAGGCTGACAGTCGTGGTCAGAAAACTACAATGGTATTTTAAAGCTGGTGTATCTTTTTGTTAATAACTTGCTTTTTTTACAAACACACCAGACTGTCTGAAATACTTATACTATCATCCAGCAGAGGGGGCTCTAAGCCCTAATTAAACTTAGGTCCTTTGATAATCAGTAAAGAAAGGTTTAAAACAAACAACAAAATCTGTGACTCTTCAGTTCTAAAAAAAGAACCAAGAACATTTAGTTTTTCCATTTCATTGTCTATATTGATTTATTTACCTGCTAATCAGCTCACCCACAAACTAAACTGTCTCTTAGGCCTTTGAAACAAAGCTACAGCGTAACCATCCTACCTGCAGTTCCAGAAGAATTGTCAGGAGATCGCTGTGACGTTAAGGCTGGTTTGGTGGTGGAGGTGAACCTTCCCTGAGGTGCAGCACTGCTGAACACAGTGGAGCTTTCAGCTCCTTCAAGGCCTGGTGCTCTGTGTGGACCTCTGATCTCACTCCACTCTGGTGGACTGGTCAGACCCACATCTTCATCTGGACTGCTGGCTGTTAGTGGAGAGCGTCTTGGAGAAACAAACTCTCTGTGAGGATGCCTGGAACCAGCTGTGGTGTGACTGGAGGGGACATCTGTGGTCAGGCCTTGATCAGCAGCTTTAGGAGACAGAGTGACGTGGACATGTGAGACGTGACGTGTCCCCCTAAAGGACAGGGACATCTCTTCAGCTCTGTTAGGAGCAGAAATCAGGCTTTCATTGATGGTGAACTGGTCATCTGGCAGATAGGAGCGCAGGTGTTCATCCTCCCTGTTTGAACACTGCAGGGAAGGAGAAGATTCTTTATCCAGACCGCCAACAGCTTCTCTCCTCTTCTGACTTCCTGTCGTTGACTCTCTGGTTGTCATATCTTCACTTTGAGCGTTGTTTCTTTGACCTTTAGTATTTTCCAGTGGTCCTGTGGAGAGGTCGTTTGGGTGAAGCGGCTCAGGTGACGGGCTGAGGGGAGGCGCAGGTGAAGTTGAGGGAGAGGGGGAGGCAGAACGCCGGCAGGTGGAGATAGAAATGGATGTGGGAGCCCCTGTGTTTGATCGCGTGATATTCACACCTTCTCTGGCAGCAATCCTTCGTACCTGTGCTTCTAAAGACTCTGAGCGTTGGAGTTTGTGAACGTCAGGTTCAGTCTGGTTTGTTCTGGTCGATTTCACAGGTTGAGACCGCTGCCTCTTCAAGCTACTGTGGAGAGTGTGAGGTGGAGAACGGTCACTGGGAATACTGGAGGGAGCACTGGTCTCTGTGTCTGTGCTCAGCTGGCCCTGGGAAGAAAACAAAACAAAACCAAAATCAAAACAAAGTGAGACTACAGTTCATTCAGAATTAAAAACCAGAAATATATGCCATCACTTCAACCAAACAGTTTGTTCAGAGGTCAGGAAACAAACACAGCAGTTAATGTAGTTTCACGTTTCAAACTTCACAAACACACGCACACTCTAACACAGAGGTGGGCAATTAGGTCCACAAAGGGCCGCGGTGGCTGCAGGTTTTTGTTCCAACCAAGCAGCAGCACACCTGTCTTGACTTATTTAATCAACTGCCATGAGTCTTCAGACAGCTGATTGGTCAGTCAGTGTGTTCTGGACAGGTTGGAAGAAAAACCTGCCGCCACAGCGGCCCTCTGTGCCCAGGTCTGCTCTAACACCTCAGTTACCTCCACACTGAGACCTGCACTGTGGAAACAACACAGATCCAAATGACAAAAAGAACACATTGAGATTATTCAAAAAAAGAAATGGAACCGTTCACAGATGTAGTGATGAAACGGTCACACTTGTTTCTATTACCATGGTTGGATATTTCAGCAGCAATTCTCTCTTCAACTCTTCAATTCTTCTCTTATCTTCTACATCCAACTCCTGGAGTTCACTCTGTTGTCCTGGAAGTTTGGGTTTCATCCAGTCTGCAACATCACAGTAGACTTTAATAAACCATGTAGTTGACTCCTGTCAGTCAACAAGTACTTCAGGATGTTGACTCCATTAATAAAATTTGTCAACTTGTCAATATCTGTCACCTGTCCTACGACTTAATAATAGATATTTATATTTACCAGGACACAAAGTAACACAAGCTACATCAAACTTGTACACTTGTTGTGCTAATGTATACTGTGACTACGAGTGTTGTGAGCATTACTTCCAACCTGAATGATATTTTAAAATATAAAGTAATGACAACAACCACTGTTAAATCCATAATCATTTAACTATAAAATGTAAAACTGGTGACATCAGTTTTGTTTTGCTGACTTCAACAGTCAATGAGCCTTGTAGGTGTTAAACTTAAGGACCTTATGAGTCGTTGATACCATTATTGATAAACTGATTGCCACCCAGCAAGTTCAGACACTTTATGATGTTGATTATTAAGTGTACAGTCACAGTAGCAGGGAGACTGTTATCGTGTGTATAACAATTAAAATACAATCAGAACCTGGCCGTCTCTGAAGGCTCCTACCTCTGACTTTGCTCTCATCTTGATCAATGGTGCTGGGTGTGCTGGACATCAGGGTGGAGGGAGACTCTCTTTGGAGTAACCTGACCACTCTGACAGCCAATGAGCTGCCGCTGCTGGAGTCACTTATTCCTCCCTGATCCATGTCTTCAGGTTGGGGAACCGAAGAACTACTCTGTGCAGTAATCTCTTCTTCTGCTGGACCAGCATCCATCTCTGCAGGTGTGGAGGGCAGCTGCTGCAGCTGAGACTGGCCGACCTGTGGCTGTGTTGCGACCGTGTTGTCAGGAGGGGCAGCACTGCAGCCCTCAGGCTCTGCCCGACAGGCTGGTTTGGGGGGCACCAGAGGTGAGTGTGCTGTAGATGCAAGGGTCAGTGATGGTGTGGAGGGAAAATAAGGCTGCAGTGATGAAGTCGTGCTTTCTCGACCGACAGAACTTTGCCTTGGTTTCTCTGACATCAGCATGGAATCAGACGAGGACCTAGCCCACAGCAGGGAGGACTGACGTGTGGGGTCTTCTGCAGCAGAGGAGGAGGAGAAAGTGGAATCCTGGAATCTACTGCTTTTGGTCTTCAACGGCAGGAAAATGTCTTCTTTAGAGGCTGAGGAAGCTATAGACGACCCAGCAGACACCTCGTTGTCCGTCTGAGAATCTGAGAGTAGTTTTTGGAATTTTAAAAATGTCTTAGCGCTCACAACAGAGTCTGAAGCACTTTTTACCAAGCTACGGCTCATTTGCAGCGGCGACTCAAAGTCTGACTCCTCTGATCTGGTCAGAGGAGCTAGTGAGTGGTCGGCGTCAGAGCCTTCATCCAATTGGACAACATTCTGGTTGCTGATTACACTGCTGTTAACCTGTTGGCTAGGTAGCAAAATGTCAGAGTGGGAGTCTGCACAGGTGGCTGCAGCTCTGCAATCACTGTGAAAAGCTTCTCTAACTGTGGAAGGAGAAGTTCTCCGGTCTAAATTGGATACAGCTGGACCCAGACTGTCCAGGCTAATGGGTATGGAAATGCTTGAGCCCACAGACAGAATACTAGACCTGGAAAACTCTCCTTTATGGGGGCTGTCACCTGTAAAAACATGTTTCACATGAGGTTAGTGTGGCATTGGACAAGAATGGAACTTTACTACAGGAATATTTTCACTAGTTTCTTATGAAGCAGACAGAACACGTGTGACTTTTTAAAATCTAAAATGAAGTGGGATGAGTAGTAATGTGTTGAATTTAAGTGTTGAGAATGCTTACCTTCTGAAGGTTGGGTGCTTTTGGTTGGGGTTCCAATAGATCCTTTAATCGTACAGAAATCAGTGGGAGAAAACTCTGGTTCTCGGATCGGCCCTCTAGGCACAAAAGGAGTCAGGATTGTTGAGGGAGACTGGTCAATACCCAGGTTGTGGAGATACAACTGCAGAAAACAGACATTACACATTAAGGTTTATACATAAGTAGAATAAATCCATGCTGAATAAAACATACAGTTTCATTTTATGAACAAAACAATCACAATTGGACAGTCTAAGGCCGATTCCCTGTGTTTTTATTTTCACTTTCAATTAATTACCGGGATTCGCTCTTCAATGTTGAGTTCCTGAGGTCCGGTCAGAGCGGGTGTTGTTGACGACTGTTTGATGGTCCAGTAGGGAGCATAGTTATCAACCTCTAGGCTGGTGACAGAAGATGCTCCAATGGACGCACCTAACTTCACTCCACTCTTGTAACTGTCCTGTGAACTTGAAAGTGCCAGCTCTCTATCAAGAGAGATGTCACTGAAGAGACCGAGGCTCAGTGGAGCTGAGGGCTTAGTTGAAACATTTGTCCTCCGACTGTCATCGTCCTCAACCTGAGCTTCTTCTCTTTCCTTCTGGGCTGACATGACGACCGTGCTGAGAGAGGAGTGGGACTGAGACCTACCAAAGGGAGGGGTGGTGGGTCTAACTGCAGAGCCGCTGTTGTCTTGGTCACTGGGTGCACCTCCAACTGCCTCTGTTCTCTTTGAACAGCAAGATCCTGAAGGGACTTCAGAAGAGCTCTGTGTCATATTCTGGTTGGCAGGGCTGGAACCAGGAGCATTCTGTAAAGTTTTTACTTTTTCAGTCAGTAAATGATTCAGGGTCTCAGAGACTGTGTCGTAGGCTTTCTTTTTAGGAGAGATTTCAGAAAGTCCTTGCAATGCTAGACTATCAAACAGAGAGGTTTTACTGGAACTCTGATTGGTCCTCCATGCATCTACTTTCTGAATGTAGTTAAAACTAGGAAGAGACTGGACTTTTGACGAGTCCTCGTGGTTCTGACTTTCCGCCTCAATGTCATTAGGTTCAGAAATAGCATCCTGTGGCGAAATCCCAGTTTTGCACTGATGGGAGTTTTCTTTATCATATTCGATGGCAGAAGGTTTGCCCAAAACAGCCATGACATTGGATTTGGGTTTGTTCAGAAAAATCCCTGGAGTGGATTGAGACTGTGGTAGGAAACCTAAATACGAGCCATCAATTCCTGTTCGGTTCCCTGACGACCAAAGGCTCTGCTCTCTATGAAGTCGCTCAACCCCACTTGAAAAAGGACCCGTTGATGACTTGTCAGTCAAATTTCTTTGGGAGACACTTTTCTTGACTACAGAGGTTTTTGTTGGATATGGAGTGAAACACAGATCAAGAGGAGGAGGACTACTTTTTTGTTGGTTCTGAGACTGAAATTCTTCACTTCTGTTCATCTCAGCCTCAGCCAACAGTTCTCTATGCAACTCTTCACTGCTGTTATCAGGCAAAGTGCTGCGAGAGCCTGTGGTGATGTTGAACACCTCAGATGACAGAGCTTTAGGTTGTTGAGCTTGGTGTGGCAGAGAAGCTTCACCAGCAGGACATTCTCTTCTAAACTGGCTGGGTTTACAAACTGTACTATGTGTAGACTGTGTCACAGAAGACGCTGTGTTTTTAACAGACATCTCAGAAGTAGAGGACACTGCACTACAACTGCTGCTGGGAACACCAACTTCTCTCTGTAGGAGCTCCAGCAAATGCTGGGCAGAAACATCCTTTCTTAGAAACAGAGTATCATCGTCTAAAGCCTCTACTTTAGGTTTTACTCCAGCAAACAGGACTTGAGGCTCAACTGGTGTCTTTGAGGTCTTCGGTGAACCACCATTATTGTCATCTCCTTGTCTGCCAGAGGTTATAAACAGTCTGGAGGGAACAATTTTCTCTTGTTTGTCAGATAAGCTGTGCCAGGACACAGTGTCACAGCAGCTGCTTGTTCCTCCCTCTGAAAGGACAGTCGTTTGGGCCAAAGGATGTTGAGACAGAGAGCCACAATCTGAGGCCTGAGAGGTGTGATCCTGGGCCGGAGAGGGAAATCTATCGGACGCCGTGGAAATGTCAGGGTATGCCCTTAAAAATAAGTCAATTGATAAGTAAACATCTAATTAGAAAAAGTGATTAAACTATTATCTTCAACAAGTGTTTTTACCGTAAAGGTGCAAAGTCATTGTCACTTTGCTGCAGTAAAGTAAAGTCAGTAAAGTGTTCCAGTTCTGTCTTTACAGGCAAAAGGAAAAGGGCTGGAGACAAGTTACTGTCCTGAAAACCTAGTGACAGAGAAAAAAAAATCTTCATTTTATCTTCAGGCATCATTACCAGCCAATATCAAAGTACTGAAAAGTATTAAAAATTACTGAATGAAGACCCCAATGGACATAGTAGTAATTAACTTTATATATATTTACTCTCTTTAAGGGGCTGCCTTTCATTGGTAACAGTGAGTGATCTGCCTCCTCTCCTGATACGATGCTTTCTGGACTGTGTCTTCTTTGTTTGTAACCCTGCTGTCCAATATCTCCACTCTCTTTCCTCTGCAGATACGCAAATCTTCTCAACACCTGACTGCATCACTCATCCCCCAACCTCTTCATTTCCTGTCCATCTTGGTCACTCTCATTTAAAATCAATGCATCTTCAACTCTGCCAGCTCAGTCTCCTCTCCTTTATACAGTGTTCCTCCAGAGAATCCTGCTGCTAGCTTCCATTTGACCTCATCTTTTCCCACTCCAATCTGTAGCTCAATCTTCATCAACTTTTTGTGCACTGTCCATAAATTTGTTGTGCTTGAATATATGTACTTAATCTCACTTGAGTTTTAATTTATAACTTGAGTGACAAATTAATTGCTGCAAACTTTGCAATTTGCTTCTACACCCATGTCCCACAGTGTCAATACACCCCACACTGTTCAAAATTAACAATTGTATGGTTAAAAAAATCCACCATGTAAATATTTATTTATTTTAATTAAGTACAATTTCAAAACTGAATAGATAAAAAAAGTATTTTACATACCCAACTCCACGGAGTGACTTGAATGTTGATGTGAATTATCTATTGAAACACTGAGCTGCTTCTGCTTCTGGCTGGCATCTTGAAGATTTAAAGAAGGCACCACTTGGTTTATGGACAATTGTTCAGTAGACTGACTCTCAATTTTATTTAGTGGAAAATCAGAAATGACCCCCCCTTTCTGTAAAAAACAAACAAACAACAAACAAATTAACAGCATTACTAAGTCTATTAAACGCTAGTTTGCTTTTTTAATGTTGGATTACATGACGCATACTGATACAAATAAAGACGAAAATAGTTGTTTAACATATCACTGCTAACCAACTTCCCAACTCTGGAGGATTTAAGGTATTCCGACGTTCTTTTGATAGTGGTAGTTAGCAAACATAGGGAAAAATATATGGCGAATTGACGTTTTGTCAAACCTGCAACCAGGGAGCCACCAGACACACATTGGGTCCATTTTACTAACGTGGAATTCTCTACTACAAAACTAAACTGTCGTAATTGTTGATAAGTTAACAAACGTGTTGTTTTTGACGTAAATACATTTCCCAAACAGTCTGGAAACGGAATTAGCAGCTAGCTAACCCCTCAAACCGCCAAACGCGCAGAACCACGGTTTCGACTTAGATAAGACGTATCATCAAAAAACTGGATAGTACACATAAAATCAGTCCCTGAGTAAAAATGTAGTAAGTCACCTGTGGAGTCTCCATGTTGATGTCGTTAGCCACAGTCCGCCACTATAGGCGCGCTAGCTACAACCTGTATCCAGGCAGCGTCTCCGGGACTTCTTGCTCGCGCGAGAAGACAAGATTTGAAATTTATTAACAAAGATCGCAAATGGCACAGATGAACCACCGTGTCACAAAAGTAAAACGAAACTTTTCAATCACGCTGTATTCCTCAAAGATCGTAAACAACAGTTACCAATCACTCTCCAACGTAAGTAAACATAGAAGAGTTTACGTTTTTTGTTGCCGACATAAAGTTTCAAAATGTAAATTTAAATGTTCCATAAGCAAATTATGTTTATGGTTTTCCTACAATATCCAATAAAAATAACAACTTTATTCGAGTTCATATATATTGCAAATCACAGAAATATGTATCTAGTCTAGTGTCCAATATCTCAACTCAAGGACTCAAGGTTCTTTATTGTCATTGCAACATATGTTAGACATGGGATGAACGAAATTAGTTTCCCTGGTCCCGGCTCGAGTACAAGTGACAGAGGGGAAGAGTTCGGCGTAATGCAGCAAGAAGAGAGAGAAAGTTCAGATTGTGCATGAGTGAAAGACAAGAACAAGAACTAGAACAAGAACAACAGCCCTGGTCAGGGCAACAAGAGCAACGAATGTGGGGACAATAGTTGTGAGGCCCACATATTTTCTTCGTTGTGGGGGGTTGGCAGAGTCAATGTGGGGGAAACGGGGGGTTACAGGGGTCCACAGGAAGAAGCTGTTCCTCAGTCTGGTGGTCCTGCTTTTGACAATATACAATTGTAGGTGTCCCAAATAATTAAAAAAAATGTTTGCCATAATTTTGGCTTCGACAGGCTTACGTAAAATTGACAGAAATGACATCCAATTAATTCCCGTGGTGCGGAGGCTGTCTGCTCATCATTGGTTTACATTGACGGCGTCTTGTAGCCTGTTAGACAAACCGTGGGGCAAAACGACTATTCCCGAACCAAACACGGAAAGAAGACAACGTCATTGCTGTACTATATACAACAAGGTTTATACCTTAAGAAACAGCGAATATAAATAGAAATAAACAAAATGCCCAAAAAGAGAGAAATCCTCCGAGGTAAGGATAAAATAATAACTTATTCAGGACGAACGACATCATTGTTGTTAGGTTTCATTTACTGATTATTTTTCTGGTCAGTGAGACTGCTAGCTGAGGAAAGTCATTATCCTAACAGTTTTGTTTTTGTCTACCTTAAATGATATGACAGCCTTATGTGTGAGAGCTAACACGGTGACATTTTTGTGTTTGTCAGTTGATGTCCCTACACCTAGAATTAAAGAAGACTTGGAACTTAACCACGCTCGTGTAAGTATACTGCGTTAGCTGCGTTCCTCTTTTCTGATGCTTTCTGGTGTTTTCTGAATTGAAGCAAATTAACAACCGGTGCTTCCGGTTAAGAATTTCCAGGTAGAAGATTAGCACCATGACAACACTACATCGTGGAATTACTAGTGATTGGGGGATATTGATTTGATTTGTTTGGTTCTGAACGAATTATAGACATTGGTGTAGAAGTATGAGATGCTGTACTGTGCCTTTTTGGATCTAAAGCAAGCTTATAATAATCTGTAGGGGTGTAGAGGCAGCAACAGAATATGGAAGATATGTAAGAGTGAGTATTTAATTTCATGTAATGGCATGTTTCCAATAGAGTAAAATGAATACATTAGTAATGAATAGAATGTACTGATGAGACCCACTACATGCATGTGATATTACTGGTTATATTTTATTTTTCAGGAAACTTGGGTAGATTTTATGAGAGCAGCAGCGGCTCCTAGGAGTTTTCACACTGCAGACCCCTTCATGAATGTTATAGCCTCGCAATTCTTTGGTAAGTTTCTTAAGTGTCTTTTCACGAGCAGTGAATGAACCTCCTGTGATTTTTATTTTATGTGAGTTTGACTGCAGCTGTAGATGTTGGTGTGAGTGTGTTGTGTTGTTACACAGAAGTCTCTCAGCAGTGTAGGTCAGAAACACCTTAAAATCAAAAATATAGAGAGAGTTGTTATTAAACTAAACAAAAAAACAAAACAAAAAAAGTCATCCAGGTCATGGTCAAGTTTGAAAGTTCTGTTAGGCAACTGGACGTTAATTTCCTAAAAGAAGACGTTTCACCTCTCATCCAAGAGGCTTCTAAAATGAAGAAGTGTCCAGTCATGTCCAGTTGCCTAACAGAACTTTCAAACTTGAACATGATGAAATAATGATTGTAACAGACGTGTCTCTGTGGGACATAGATTGTAGGTCGTATGACTTGGAAGATGGCCTCATGTTTTCAGACTGTGAAGAAGAAGATGAGGATGAGGATCATGATCCTTTTCATTCACGCACTGCTGCTTCCAGCTTTTTACAGCCACACCCACGGATAAGACAACTCACAGATGAGGTAGACATGTGTTGTGTTCTTTTATTACTCGATCACCACTTTGTGTTGTATATAATCATAGGACAGGAACATTGAACGATTTGTTTGTGCTCAAAGGTCAATCTAACCTGTTATAAGCAGGGCTGGTTTTACTGCCTATTAAAGGCGTTTCCTCTGGTTGTTCTAAGAATGAAAATTAATGTCAGGTTAGTGTCACCTCTAAGTGAACTGCTACAAATGTACAGTGTGAAAATAGTAGTCATCATAGTGAATATCTCATTGGTTTCTTTAAGGCCCAGCTCACATTACGACAAGTATTTTGTTTATTTATTATTATTATTATAATTATTATTATATTACTATATATATATATTATATATAAAGGGAGAGGTGTTTATGTTCAGTTCAGAACAGTCTTACATAATAAATTATAACCTTCAGGCGTTAGTCAAGATATTTCTTCAGAGGGTAAATTCAAATTACCGGATTAAAAACCCATTTAAGTGTAACATACTGTATTTTCTGAACTATAAGTCACACTTTTTTCATGCTTCAGCTGGGTTTGCAACCTATACTCAGGTGTGACTTATTTACTTTAGTTTCACACTGACAGCCGCTAGACGGCACTGGTGCGACTTATCCGGCGAGCTACTTATAGTCCAGAAAATATGGTACTCTGTCTAAAGTACTAACGGTTTAATCCAGCTGGGGGCACCTTGACTAGATCGGGGTGTCAGACTGTTTAAGTGACTCAAAGTAACTAAACAGGTTGTCTCAACTCAAACTACATTAGTCAGGTTTTGGGGGTTGGTGAGGTGATGCTTCTTGTCTATTAATTGTTGATATTTCCATTTGCTAGAATGCCAGGAGCCTGGACACAAATTGAGGTGTATCGTGGGAGATGTAGTTTATGGTACATACAGCTTGATTAGAATCAAGATTGTGAATTACTTGCTATGTATTTGGTATACATATGAGTTTGATCACTGGATTCAACTTCTCCAGTGAACATGAGTGTATACTCTATATAATATAGAATTTACTGTATGACAGTCCACCTTATGTTAAGCTCTGGAGGGCCTCAAAGGTGGTGGATATATTCAACATAACTGGATATTTTGTCAAAACTAATTCATACTATCTCCTGTGTAAAAAACACGTCTTTAGCCTATTGATAAAAGAAGAGAGCAATGCTATGATGCAGCATCACGTACAGTACTTTTTATATATTGTTTTACAAAATGTCGCATCAATAAAATTAAAATCAAACAAATCAACAAAGAATTTGAAAATGTGTCGTAAATTCCACACAAGTTGTTGAACGTAGAACATGTTAACTTCTTTCAGGAGGCTGATCAACATGCAGCAGCACTTAAAGCAGAAGAAGAGAAGCGCAGTGAGAGAACGGAAAGAAACAAGCGAAAGAAAATGGTGAGTTTGAATCGAACGGTGTCTAAAAATGATTGTGGTTGTTTCTGTCACACATTATGTACAACAGGATTGTTTGGGGTTCTGTTTTTCAGCGTAAAAAAGAAAAGAAGCGATTAGAAAAGGAGAATTTAGCTAAAGAAAATCTACATGTAAGTATTCTCTGACTAAACCCAGTACATTTTAGTCTTAATTGTTTGAGACTAACATTGTATTTTTATACTTTATATTTTAGGGACATGAACAAGGCAAACCTGACTGTTCTGAAAATGAAAAAGAAAATCTGATTATTCAATCCAACAATGATACAACTGAGGAAAATAAAACAGAGAATTTACCTAAAGCTGCTGAATGTGATGAAGACAGTGGTGAAAATAACAGTAAAGAAGAAAATAATTTGGAAACAATTAAAGAGGAAGATAAGAAAGAACAGGTTGGTTTGGTAATCACTCAGGAGTTTAAATTGTGGCTTCATTAGATTGAAACGTTTTCACAATAAGGTTTTACTTTAACTACATTGTAAAAATCTGTGTCTCACATATGTTCACAGGAATTGGATTTTCGAAATTTGTATGCTTGTTCATCTGAATTATTATCTGAGGAGATGAGTAACCAAAAGATTTCCAAATTTAATAAAAAAGAAAAAAATATATCAAAGGAAGCTCTGCTGCATAATGAGGAAAAGACAAAAATGAATATAAAACCTGAAGCCCCCAAAGAACCTGAAGCCGTAAAAGAAGAGGTATGTCATATATTTTCAAGGTTCAAATATTCTCTGAAATATAAGGAATCTCAAAAAATAGAAAAAAAGACGAAACACAAACAACTGAAGGACGTTTTTGTTTTTTCAAACAGAAGAAAGTTGATTTGGCTGCTGATGAGATCACAGACAGGAGCAGAGAACTGGCTGGTGAGTTACCGTTCCATTTGTTATCTGTTTGATAAGAGAACGTACATCTAAAACAAACTGACTCAGATCTAAATGTTTGCCTTCTTCCTGTCAGCTGCAGGAAATCGGTTGGCAGCCTCTGGTCAGTACCTGGCGGCTGTGGAGTGTTTTACTGAAGCCATTAAATTCAACCCTACAGAAATTAGGTGAGAACATAAACCTGGTTTGACTTGGTGCTTTTCATGGCAACATCCCAGTAGCTGCTAGTGTTGATGAGGTTTGTGGTTCAGGTTGTTTGGAAATCGCTCCCTCTGTTACGAAAGACTGCAGCAGTATGAAAATGCTCTCAGGGATGCAGAGCTGGCTCTGTCCATGGAGCCAAAGTGGATAAAAGGGTTGTTCCGGAAAGGGAAAGCTCTGTGTGGACTCAAGGTAAATTAAAAAAAAACATGTCTATGTTCATTTACATGTTATCCTAATGGGCCTAAATACTGCAGCATGTTCTCACTCACTTCTCATTTCTTCTGCAGAAATACTATGATGCCTCGTTGGTTTACAAGGAGGTGCTGAATCTGGAAAGTTCCAGCACTGAAGCTGCACAAGAGTTAAAAAGAGCACAAACACTGCACCTCATGGTAGGTGGGGTAGAAGATTTAGTTCTCCAATATTTCTGCTTCTATGTAAGGAATACACTGTCAGAGAGTGAGAAACCTGTTGACAGGTACCTTGTTGATGTTACCCAGGAAGAACGTCTTTATTATATTTAAACTCATTTCTGTGAGAAAAATGTAATTTATCAGAAAGGTGGTCCTAAAGGTGACATATTATGTAAAACTGACTTTGTCTCTCTGGAGTGTCTGCCAGTTTCAACAATTCATGTTTTTTCATTGACAACATCTGAAAATGTGTCTCAAAAGGAACTGTTCTAGAATAACAGAGAATATTAATCCTGATCCTGCAGTGGGTCTCTCCACCCAAACTACCTCCTCCATTTGCTTTATTTTTTACATAACTGCCAGGCGGCTAGCGTGACCAACCCAAAAGCAAAAACAGTTTGACTTGGTCTTTCATTTCCAGGAAATGGGTTTTTCCTGGTCACAGAGCAACGCGGCTCTAAAGACTCACCCCACATTAGAAGAGGCTGTGGATGCTCTCTTTAGAAGTGGCCTTAGCCAGGCTCCTGAAGGTAAATGTGGTTACATGGCTCTTTAAGATAAAGCTGAGAAGATGATGTCAGTCTTTCACTATTTTTTTTGTTTATGTTTTATTACCTTCCTCAGAGACAGAATCCAGCAGAGACACTGCTGACCAAGCAGCAGCTTACGAAGAAGACGACGAGAATGGAGACTGGATTTTCCTCCGTTCACATCGCCCAAGAACTCAGCAGAATTCTGAAGCTCCACTCCAAAATAAATTGAAATATCAGTCCCCAGGACGTAACAATTGGAATTCTGGGAAACCGTAAGTACCTAAAGTATAAATTGCAAAGGAAACAAGAACCATTTGGTTCCTAGTCTGAAAGTTTTGCATACAATGTAGTGAAATAGTGGGATTGTCCCACTAGAGGGCAGAACACAGCACTTCAACCTATGGTGTAAACTATACTAAAGTATTATAACTATATAATATCCTCATCTTAATAAAGAAAACACAAGGTCAGAATGACCAGAATTCATTTTATATGAATGTTGTGTCATATGATTTTGTTCTTCATAAAGAAATTTAATTTAACGTTTAAGTTGACCTTTTTTCTGTCTCTCTTTGTGCATTTTGTGCACAGTGACCTTATCTCCGTCTGGGTCGGATCCTTGTCTCCCACTGTCACCTACCCAGCTCTACACGAGCTCTTCAGCAGGTGAAGCATCACGGCCTTTTTCTCTCCCACTGGAGGTGCTTTGTTTGAGGATGTCTTTCAGCTCTCTGTCAGGAACAGATGCTGCCCACGGTCTCAGGTGTCACAAGAAGCTCCGGTTCAAAGGAAAACAGCTGGCCTGGCTGTGCAGAGACAAAATGACAATGTTGTAGGATGAAGAGTATTTAGGTTATGAAAAAAGGAAGAAAAAAATTTCAATTTAAATGTGCGTCTTCTTACTATTGTTACTTACTGTAACTATATATATATATTTTGTACTGTTTTGACTGACTGTGGACAATAATGGACACGTCATAATACTACACTGTCTTAATAATACAGCTGCCTGAACCTGTTAGATACCGGTACTGATTCTACACCATGTGTGTTTTTTTCTTTTGTTTTTGTTTTTTTCTCAGGGTCGGAGTCGTCTATGGAGTCAAGATGTTACTGGACAAACAGTGTGCCCTGGTTCACTACGCAACAAAAGAAGACTGTGATCGAGCCATTCAGACTCTAGATGTATGTCCTCTCAGAGATGATGTAACTGGTTATAGAGTGGTCATTTATAACCATATACAATCAGCTGGGCAGGCCCATGGTCAGCTGACTCTGTTACCTGTTATCTTTAAGCTATTTTGGCTTTGATTCTTTCCACTTTTTTAGCCTCTTAGCTTTTTTTTAACTTGGTTTAAACTATTTATTTGGCCAACTCCAACCTTTAACACATCTGCAAAATTTTTCAAGCTTACGGTTTGCTCTACAGGGACTTTTGTTTGAAGGATGCCCTCTGTCTGTGAGACATCCCAGTAAAGGAGTTAGGTAAGATCGTACATGTCACTCTACATCCTAAACACCAACATATATTTACATGACAAACATTTAGTAATTAAAAAAAATCAATAATAAAGAGATATCGTGATGTAGTTAAGTCTAATGTTGTTGTTTCCTCAGCTCCTACAAGAAGGAGTGTTTTTTCTGGAGAACCACAGGCTGCACCAGGGACGACTGCATTTTCAAACATATCCCAGAGCACAAGAACATGGACAGGAACAAGTTCACCGGTCGACTGGGGCAGTTCAAGACGTAGGGAAAACAAGGAAAGCACACTGTGGGGGGCCTGGTTCCAACCCTAGGTCTGTAAGGAATCATGGCCCTTTAGATTTTTGCTGTTCATGTGCAGAAAAGAGAAATTAGGCAAATTAGAAAAGAAATGTGCCTTCTGTAGATGCTGTCATTATGATTTAACTTTAATTATCCCAGCACATGCATCTGTGTCTGAATGTGTTCAGAGATTTGTTTAAATTTATTGTTTTAGTATTTTCATGTGGGTCTAACAGAATCTTATGTTGACTTTTATTTACCACTTGGTGGCAGTATCACTTTTATTACGTTTGGAGAATCCCACTGACATGCTTGGAATGTTTTGGTTCAGGTATATTTAAATGACCACCTTTAGTTTTCAGATCCCAGCGTTTCTGAATTTGTTTTACGTGATGGTCCAGTTCACTTGTCATGGAAATGTATTAAAAAGAGTTATTTGTATAAATCTGAAAAATACTAACCTCCAGAACTTACTAGACCCAAAACTATGACTTAACCCACAAATCAAACGCACACTGTATAGAAGAAGAGATTTAGTGACTAAAGTGAACAGTGACGTCATCCTCTAAGCTAGAACTGGGTTTAGGATCATTCAGGGATCAGTGTGTGCAATTGGAGGATCAGTGTGAGGCCAGAAGAAGCTGTGACTTTGAACCATTCTGTCTCTCTCACCAAGGAATTACCAGCTGTGCATCCTGTTGCAGTGTCCTTGACTGAGGAGCCTGTTTTAATCAGCTTGGGTTTGTCTGATTATTTAAGTGAGGACTAGACCACCGTCATTATGAAGTCTGACTATGTTTTATCCAGTCTATAATAAGTTTTAGTGGTGATTTTTTTAAAGCATATTTCAGTTCAAACTGACCTTGAGTGGAAAAGTTATTGAGCTGTAGTTTTGCCTGTAAACTTGATCAGTTTTACTGCAGATGCCACATGTACTGATTCTAGTTTCTCTTATTAACAATGCCAGCACTGGCAGGCCTCAAACAACAAGCCTACATATTACATCGGTACATCAGGCTCTTAAAAATCCAACTACAGCCTCAAAGAATCACTGCATGGAACCAGTTTGCTGAAGCTGACTCAACATCTTAGACTCTACTTCCTTTACGTGAGACATTTATTTCCACCCTTCCAGGATGGAGCTCAGTAGACTTTCAAAGTACCTTTGCAGGTCAGCGTTGCTTTTACAGCTTATTATGCAACATTTAAGGTGCACGGTACAAAACCCGCTATTAGGAGGGGGAAATTAGTCTGCAGCAGAGAGGAGGACTGAGGCATTTAGCTGAGGAAAGTGCTTGGTCTTAGAGCTGACACACAGGGCAGCTGTGTTTGTGGGCTTTAATTGGCTGATGGTGACATACCTCACAAAGCCCTTTTGATCTGCACGAGATCCGAGAGCATGAAAAGGCCTGTAACACTAATAACATGAACTCTGGGTGACCCCATAGGCTGCACCGGGACACTGTGGTTGATGTATTACCAACCTCCAAACTGGTTATAATTTAATCTTACAGGTCTGCTGCCTACGGATCTGCTCAGCCGCAGATAAAAGAGTGATAAGAGCTCAGGCTGCACAAAGCGGCTGGACTCAACATGGAACCACTCCATGCTCCGGACGACACTCAGCCTTTACTTAAGTAAAGCAAACAGCTTGAAGATAAAGTGCGTCTTGTAAAAAGGGGGCAGTCTGGTTTGTAGAGCTTTTAAGGGATTTCGCTCTCTGTCTCTGCCAACAGGAGGGAAAATAAAACAAGGAAACTCAACAGGAACAGAAATGAACCAGCTGACATGACAGGTTGCTCTCCCACTCTCTGCTGTTTGATGTATGTCTGTGCAGCAGCAGCAGCAGCAGAATAAACCCCTCCACCTCCACTAGTTTCCTAGCTGAACGTCTGATGGCAGCTCTTTCAGCGCCGGCCTTCATAATCTAGTTTTTATTCTAATTCAGGGCTTTTTCTCCACTGCTAAATAAACCATTGATGTGACAGGAGGGAGGCGCTGAGTCACGCTGTGTGTCAACGGTCTTAATTTGCTTCTGGGGAAGCCAAAATAAATGCCTCTCTGCAGCTACACAGCTGCTGCACTCATAAGAGTTTTGCCTCAAACTCATTTCCCAACAGGGCTGCTGTTATTTGCTCGTTCAGTTGGTTTTTTTTTTTTGTTTTTTGGTTTTTTTTAAATAAGTGCCACATGTGAGTGAGGGGATTCTGGAGCAGTGCACCACCGTTATGTATTCATCTTTTCATTTTCCCTCAAATCTACGAGCAACATTGTTTTTATTTACTAACCTACTAGAACGTGTGATGTTAGTCTGATCTGTGGGATTTTTGTTGTTTAGTGAAAACAGAAGACTGAAGTGGTAAAAAAAAAACAATGCAAATCCTGAGCAAGAGGAACTGGAACTTTCATAAAAAATTAAATTCATAAAGAAAATGGAATATCATTTCGAGCAGATGGAAAATGGAAACATGCTAATGCTGCACTAGATGTAAAATTAAAGTGATTTCAAGCTTTTCAATGCAAAAAAAAAAAAAACTTGCCTCCTTTTCATCATTTCTACCAAGTGGGTCATGACCCAGAAGTGGGCCGCTTGACCAGACAATACCATTTATACTTTTTTCTCCGGTGCCACAGACATGTCATTGCTCTGTTAAAGTACAAACTAAAATACAGAGAGAAAAGTGTTGAACACTTCTCCTTTCATAAACGCAGTTTTAATCAACTCTGCCAACTCCTAAAATGTAGGAATAAATACATGTTTTTGAGTTTAAAGACATATCATCTAGAACACTTAAAAAACAGCGAGCTGGACTGTAAAAATCTACATACAAAACCTGTCACTTACATACATGTCTTATTGTTAAATGACCCACCTAAACATTTTAATCATTGGAAAAATAAATTATTAAACATCAAATTTTAAAAATTAACTCAAGGCAAAATGAAGTTATTAGCTGAAGTCACAGGCCAGATTTGGGGGGTGAGAACTTCCCCCAGGCCAACAGTTGGAGACCCCATGATGTAGACGGTCAATTATGTTTCACATAAATGATTGAAAACATTATTATTATTATTGGTTTCTAAATCCAACAATGTCTCCATCCCATCTGACACCGTGGCTAATAAATTAGAAATGTGTTTTGAATGAGGTTTTATTCAGAGCTAAGATCATCACGGACCAGACCATTAGTGTGTGTGTGTGATGAGTGAGATCAACAAGATGTTATGATGGGGAAGTCACACACAACCAGGAGGAGGAGGAGACATCTGCTCTTCTGCTCTCTATCTCTGTCTCTCTCTGTCTCTCTCTCTCTCTGTCTCTCTCTGTCTCTCTCTGTCTCTCTCCCTCTGTCTCTCTCTCTCTCCAACCACAGATTCCTTTGTTGCACTGTGAAATGAATACACTAATTGTCACAATGAGAAATTGACCTTCGCTTTAATCTAGACCGAGGGGCCCTTAACAAGTTCAAATAGCACAAACTCCATTAGAGAATTGATTGCTTCTTTCATTTTCCTCATCTGCATATGGGGACGTATAGAGAAGACAAATGAAAGTCTAACCTTTTGTCCATGTTTGTACTGGCAAAAAAAAAAAAGACTTGGCAAAAGTCTTTATTCCACGCCTGACAAATTCATCTCCAGTAAAGTGCTGTTAAACAGAGTGGAGTCCACAGTGTTCAGAGGTACAGGAACAGTGCAGCACCGTTTTAGCTAGCATTTAAACAGAGAGAAAAAACAGACATTTTCAATCAGTCATTTTACTGACTGTTGAGAGATTGTAGGCAATAATACGTTGATGTAAAGAGTTTTTACAGTCTTTGGGAATATTTTGTCCTGTGTGTTGACATGTCCTATTACTGTATGTTGTTGGATTATTTCACTGGTTCATGGTTTGTTAAACTGAGGAAGCTGAGAGCTGGGGCAATGGTAAAATGAGCTGCATCAACTTCAGATTTTGACTGAATAAATGTCTGCTGCATTATTATGGGATGTTGGGATTTCATTAGCATTGTTCACTAGCTGTTAATGGAGGCCTGTAAAGCAGAAATTCAGATTAGGAGGACGGAAATGTAATCACAGAGAGGTACATTCAGAAGATAGAATCAAATAAGACACTATAAATAAAGCCTTCGATTCGTGTTAAGCTGCTGATTTATATGGAGCAGGTCGATTATTCTACCTCTCAGTTTGAGTTTGAACAGCTGGCAGTAAATAAGTCAGTTTTCTTAGATAGAACAAATTAAAAAAAGCAATCTGTTTCAAAGTCTTTTTCTTTCTTTCTTTTTTTTACAGATTAAAGGAAACCAGCTTTTTATCTCCAAACCAACAGAGAGAGGCTGTGAGGTAGCTGCCAGCAGCATTACTGACTTTACAACTGTTGGTCATTAACATAAAACACTACAACATATGTTCCTTTACTCAATGATGGTTTATGTTCCTGCTCATACAGTAGGTTCAATAAAACTGCTGGACTGTCATCTGCATATACATGTTTGTACTGGCACACAGACAGACAGACACACACACAGACACACACACACAGCCTTTGTTTATTTTTCATTTGAATAAATTATTCAAGTGCTCATGTCTTTAATGCACGTGTGGACGTTGAAACACACACACACACACACACACACTTACTGCAAGGCGACAGGAAGGATAATGGCATCGACTCCCTTTGGTTGTCTCCCCCCTGACAAATGACGCTTTAAAGGTTGAACCTCACATCTCTCTCATCTCCATCAGACGTGCACGGGCACCAATCCTGAGAGCCGTCACTTTATTTTGGTCTTTGTCACCGTGATCGATTGAGCAGCGGCCCGCATGTGTGCACGGTGTCATTAACGTGATTAGAGGCTAGTAAACTGAAAAGCAAGCCTTTGGGCTTTTCACACACACAATGTGATGTAAAGCCGGGCGAGTCACGACCTGCATTTCCTTAAAGTATTTACGTGCCTCGACATGGAGGAGGAGGAAAAGAAGGAGCAGGCGTGGAGGGTTGTCAAGTGTGTAGGCTGTAAACATTAAATCCTCCAGTCAGGCTGTATTTCAACCCACTATCGACCTACATCTCAGGAGGTAACTTGTGTAAGAGCATGAAAAATGTCTGGGTCTGTAAATCCTCTCATTGTTGCCTGGAGCTGTTTGACTTCCAATAATTGATGCCTGTTTCCATATATCACTGTTTCTACACAGGTGTCCAGCCTTAACCTCACTCACGTCTCTTTCACACGTCAAATCAGTAGCTTTGTTCCCTTTTTATACAATTCATTTTTCCAAAATAGGAACTAAAAACATAAATTAAGTTGTAACCAGGCGGAAGGAAAAAAATGTTGCCATTAATTCATAGTTTTCGTCTGAGACGGTGATTTATAACAGGAGACGCTCGCAATGAAACGTTGCCCTGCCAGACCAACTTCACCAAACGGTGGACTTCCTGTGCGAAAGAAAACCTGCTTCCTTTAACACAGATAGAGCTGAATGGCCTCTCAGCTCAGCGCTCGGTTCACTCAGTTCAAATGGATTAGAAGATAATTTACCGTGGTTCGTCCAGGTCTGAGGGTCCAGAACAGCAGATGTGAGACTAAGGTTGAAGATTTCTGTTAGGAAACTGGACGTGACATTTTCTCAAAGAAGACGTTTCACCTCTCACTCCCCACCACCAGTCAGAACTGAGGAAGCCTCTTGGATGAGCGGTAAAAAAAAACCGTCTTTGAGAAAATCTCACGTCCAGTTGCCTAACAGAACTTTACAACTTTGACCATGACCTGGATGACTGAGAATCTTCATAGACAGATGTCAGACTGGTCTGAGCAGATTTTGTGAACAAATAATTTTGCCTATCTGAATGGTTAACAGATATTATATATATATATACATATATATATATATATATATATATATACGTATATATTATATATATACAGTAGTTGATGTTTCTGTGACCTGTGTAGGTCATCCAGGTCATCTTATCCAAGAGGTTTCTTTAGTCCCAAACTAAAGGAGAAGGTTTCTTGAAGACGTTTCACGTCATGTCGAGAGGCTTTCTTGACGTGATGTAACATCTTGAAGAAACCTGCTCCGTCCAGTTGTCCTCGCTGTTACTATTTTTGTAGTGAATCAAAAATTTAAGACAAAAGAGTTTTGCAAAACAAAGTGTGTTCTGACTGGCCAATGGCTTTGTTGAAATACATGAACATCAGACAATTTATTTGTCTAATATTTGCACGCTGGAGTTTTCCCTCACCAACTTGACTCTGCTCTGTTCCAAGTAAATGAGAAGCAGTTCAAATTCACAGGTATTGGTATGTGGGGATGTGGCTTTAATGTCATCTATAAAGAAGGATGTTTGTGTCCTTCAGTCTTACGAACATTAATCTCGTCAAATCTGTCTTCATTACTTAACTAGCCTGCTCCACGCTGAGCCTTATTGTTTAAACACCTTGTGTATGTTTGAGACAAGGCTGCCTGGTGTTTACCGCCCATTTAGGATGCAATGAGGAGGCTGTTTATCTCTCTTCTGTTCAGCGTAGCTGTGAAACAAACCAGGGTGTCTGGGACGATTTAAGACTTCCTCCCGCTCCACTGCCTGCCTTCCCTGCTTAAAAATGCTGCAGAGGATCCATCCATTCCTCCCGTTGTAATGAACTTCCCCGGGGGCCTGGGCGCTCCATGTGAAGACGCCTTCATACCAGAGCGATTCATTACCTTGGAAATGTGAGCTTTTGTTCCGTTTTCAGCAGAGCCCCATTAATCTTGGGCTGCCTCCTGGCATGCAGGCCCAGGTACTGCTTAGGTAATTACAGTTAATCATCATTCAGACCAGCCCATGGACTGCTGGCTGCTCAGTGGTTTCTTTGCAGGGGTAAAGAGACTCCCATACACTGCTGTTTACCCCCCGCTAACTGTAACATGGCTGCACCGGAAAAGGAACATGGAGTCTTTTTTTGTTTTGGTTGTTTGTTTCTTCTGGTCTCCTTCTGGATGGCCCCCCCCCTCCTCCCCC